AACATTTTCCTGTCACAAGCCAACTCTTTTGTCCTCTAACGCAGTCATGGACTCTTCTGGTTCTATAAATCTGTCTTCAACCAAGTCAGGAGATGCTGCTGCCCCATTTACCTCCCCCTCCCACCTATCTGTCTCTAGAAGTCAGGTGAAGAGGCAGCTGGAGAGACTGAACAGGAACAAGGCTGCAGGCCCAGATGGTGTCAGCCCCAGGGTACTGAAGGGCTGTGCAGCAGCTCTGTGGGATTCTACAGCACCTCTTCAACCTCAGCCTAGTCCAGGAGAAGGTTCCAGTCCTGTGGAAGACATCCTGCCTGTGTTCCAGTTCCAAAGAAAACTCGCACATCAGTCAATGACAACTACAGACTGGTTGCCCTGACATCTCACATCATGAAGGTCCTGGAGAGACTCCTGTTGGTCCACCTGAATAAGCAAACTAGAACATATCAGGACCCGCTGCAGTTTGCTTATCGCCATGGAGTTGGAGTTGAAGATGCCATCATCCAGCTGCTTCAACCAATCCACTGTCATCTGGACAAAGCAGGCAGCACAGTGAGGGTCATGTTCTTTGATTTCTCCAGTGCATTTAAAACAATCCAGCCTGATGTACTTTGCCAGAAACTCCAAAAGACACAGGTGGGGGCCTCAACTATCGCCTGGATTAAAGACTACCTGACAAACAGACCACAGTTTGTGAGGCTGAAGAACTGCACATCAAACCAGGTGATCAGTAACATTGGAGCACCACAGGGGACTGTACTCTCACCATTCCTTTTCACCCTGTACACCGTAGACTTCCAGTACAAATCATAGACCTGTCATCTACAGAAATACTCAGATGACTCTGCAGTTGTCGGGTGTATCAGAGATGGACAGGAAGCTGAGTACAGAGAGCTGGTGGAGCACTTTGTGGCATGCTGTGGAAACAATCATCTGACCTTGAATGTGAACAAAACAAAGGAGATAATTTTAGACTTCAGAAGAAACAGGGTGGAGTCAAACACTGTTTCCATCATGGGAGAAGAAGTGGAGGTGGTTGAGGAATACAAATACCTTGGAGTTCACCTGGACAACAGACTGAACTGGAGAAACAACAGCGAAGCCATTTTACAAGAAGGGACACAGCAGACTGCACTTCTTGAGGACGCTTAGGTCCTTCAATGTCTGTAGCAAGATGCTGCAGATCTGCAAAGAAGGATTCTCCAGAGAATCAAGAAAATTATGGACAACCCTGAGCATTCTCTTCACAAGACTGTCTGACAACCGAAGAGTGTCTTCAGTCAGAGCCTTCTTCAGTTTCGCTGCAACACTGACCGCTACTGGAGATCCATCCTGCCAACAGCCATTGTAATATACAATAACTCTTTGATGACTTGATTATTATTATTATTCTGAGCTACTACAGCAATCAATGTCCCTCTGGGATTAATAAAGTATTTTTGAATTAAATTGAATTGAAAACCAATTCTGCAGCAGAGTCGCCTTTGTCAGAGCACCAGACGTTAGCTAACTAACCAAACTAACAAAATAAGGTAAAACTCTGTGTTGGGTATTTTTAAATCCTGAAACTTAACCCTGAAATGAACCACACACAGGAGAGGAAGTCAGTAGGTTTTACGCTGTGAGGAGACAGCGGAGAGAGATAGGCCGGAAGCCTGTCTAAGGCCCCCGTCCGATCAACTCTGGGGTGTCTCCCCTGAACACAGCAGTTTTATTGAAACACAGGGAAAGGACAAAGAACCATTCATCACCGCTTACAGTTAACCAATTACAGTGTTTCTAAGGCGGGACCTTCTAAAAAGGAAGTCTCAAGTTACAGGGTGGCTGCAAGCTTCCCTGTTGACATTCAGACCCTTCCCAACCCCCATGCTTATCAGGCCGCATTCCACAGCTATGAGGAAAGGAGAAAGAACTCAGTGGCTTTCTTATTAACATATGATTACTTAAAGAGAAGCATTTACGACAGTAATACATCAAAATACCTGACAACCCCCTCCTGAAACGTGACTCATTTAAGTAATAAAAGATAAACCAAATCAAACTTGAGAACTTTTTCACCTCTTGAATGATAGAAGTCAGAGTCATAGTAGAAATGTGAACTTTTACGTAGCTTATAAGGGTGTTAAATAGAACCCTAGTAAAGATAAATGTAAAAAATAGAAAGTAATAAGTAAAAATAGAATAAAATAAGTAAAAAGAAAAATAGAAAAATACATTTTCATACCAAAAGACCTGAGTAAGATTTTAACAACCCAAAGATCAACCATAAAACCTAAGTAATTAGGAATTATGACATACCTTACTCGTGTAAGATTTAGAATGTCCAAACAACCTAATAATTTTAGCTTAGCCAAATAATCCAGACAACAACACTTAGATGTTACCTTGTGAGTAATTTAAGATAGGTGTAGCCTTGATTTATTAAGAACTCTCTGTTGGATCAAAGTGTTATTCATGATATCCTAATGCAAGAAAAAAACACACAAGATGATGAAAAGATTAAGGAAAGGAGTTGGACACTTGTGAATTTCCGTCCAATTTGCACTTGAATCTTCTTTATGTCCGCCATTTCCTCCTACAGGTGTAAAAGGCCTCCTTCTGAAACAAAGAGGAGGTCTAGCGCCATCTGTTGTTCCATTGCCATAGTGTGAAGAACTGCCTTCTCGTGATCAGATGATTGGGTCTTCGTGTTAGTGCGCTGTCTGAACTGTGGCTCTTGAAACCAACTGAAACTGCAGATCATGTGGTACTTGTGCTTTTTGTCCAGGGTGTTCCCCCCCCCTTTCTGAGTGCTCATGTCTGGGACACAGAGGGGTTTTCCCTTCCCGAACCATCCTTGTCAGACTCATCTGAGAGGTGAGTTCATCTGAGGTGAACTCACCTGTTCACCTCGTTTCCTGTCCAGGCTTGATGCACTGCAGTGGTTCTCTGCATCAGTCACAGGCTGTGTGCTCGGCCCCTTGCTTTTCTGCAGATGTGTTGACGTAGGAGAAGATGGAGGAACTGGTGTTGAGGTCATCTGTGTTGATGTTGTTATTGATTTGAACCAAGTTCAGAGCCGACTGAGGCACAGCAGCTTTGTGGTTTTTCATCAGCTCATTTATGTCCTCCTCCATCCTGGACTGCAGGTCATCGACCTCCACGGACTCTCGAACGTTCACAGCTGCTGCACAGGTGAACTCAAACTCCTCCAGCTGGTTCTTTAGTTGGGCGATCTCCCTCTTACTGGGTGCGTTGTTCTTGATGTGGCCCAACATGATCTTGGCATCAGCCAGTAGAGCCCTTGTCCTCTTCAGGCCCTTCCTCAGACGTTTCTCAGTCTCTACATCACCACCTGAGTCTGAGCTGACAGGAGCTTCGATTCCATCTCTCTCTTTTCCTTCCTGCATAGGGAAAGCATGGAAGCTACACACAGTTTCATTCATGGTTAGAGGTATTTGCAGTTAATATGGGATTCTCTTAAGAGTAGTAGAGCATGAAGTAGCACTCATAACTTGCGTTGAAACCAAGCATTTTAACAGTCAGGTTAGACATTTTATACCACTTGATGTCGAGAGGTGAGTGGGGTTCGATGAGGGCGCGTTTCCTTCTGTGCCCCTCAAGTCTGCTCTCTAGGACCAGAAGCTGAGTGTACACCACCACCAGGAATGAACCACAGCAGGTCAGCCATGGTCATGTTGTCGATGTCACCTGTTAATCAAGTTCCTTCTGTACCATACAATGTGACAGACGAATCCACCAGGGGCGCTCCGCAATCTTTACTGCAGTGAGAGTGATCAACAGGACCTGCTGTCTCCTCACAGCGTAAAACCCACTGACTTCCTCTCCTGTGTGTGGTTCATTTCAGGGTTAAGTTTCAGGATTTAAAAATACCCAACATTCTGCTACTCTGTGTGTTAGATAGAAACAGAAAACCAATGGAATCAGAAAAGAAACACTGGAAGGACATAACAAGGAGTTGCAAATAAAACGGATTAAAAATGGACATTATGGTGTGTTTTCATGTGTGTGTAAGACCCCAACAATATAGCCGCATACACTACAAACATCTATCATAAATGTAAAAAACAAAGCTACTACTTTGTGGATTTTGTCTATTGCGGGATATTTTTGGAACGTAACTGCCATGATAAACAAGGAACCACTGTATATATACCATAAGCTCAGAAAGTGTGACAGCTGTTCTTTTAGTAAACTTTCATTTGAACAATTGATTGTCTTAGATAATCCGAATATATTCTCCATCAGCCCAAAGTAAACAATGGGAAAACTTCTATTTGTTTCAATTAAACACAACATTTTTGGTCATTTAGTTCAGATATTCATCGTATGGCTGTAAGAACAATTTGGGAAAAGCATCTCTTATAAATGTTTCAAATTCCGTGAAATAAAGTATAAAAATGACAGTAAGAAAGAGAAACGTCATGAATAAGTGAAGTATCTATCCTATTCTGTTTATTTTTGCTTTTATTCCATCTGTACTCCTGACACTCGTCTCCTGTGAGAATAAGCAGCCCTGCAGCTCGTCATCTCACCCTTTGTTTTTGAGTTTTTAAGGAGGATACACATTTTAAATGTCTTTCTGCTCTCTTCTCTCCCTTCACCTGCTTATAAAGCAGGAGAACATCTGAAAATCAGATTCTCTGTCTTTGTTCTTTCAGCTTCCTGACAAAATGACAAAGCTAATCTCCTTATCCATTAATTTGACAGGATTTAGGAGAACAGTTTTTTTATCCCTCCTGCCCTCATGCCTTCACCTTTCCTTTGTAGTCAAATGAATTCACTAGAAAAGCTTCACTCACTTATACATTTTGGCATTTTACTAAAAGCATCACCAGAACCGCACTTCCTGCTCTCATGTCATTCCTCGTGGTCTCTTTTCTTTATTTCTCAGTGCAGCTCTACCTGCGCCTGAGCTGTTACACTAGCACTCAGTCTGAGCCTAGCATGATGAAATCAATGGTGTAAAATAGCCAAAAAGGGAGCTTGTGTAAGTGTCTCACCACCAGGGAGTAGTAGGCTTTGAATCCCGGCTTTGCCACAAAGTAGTCGTCAGACTTGAAGGTGATTCGCAGCTTGTTGGTTTTAGAGGTCAGACTCGGCGGTGTTTTCTGGCCACACCACCGACCCCAGATTATGGTGCTGGTTTCTGATTGGTCCTCTAATTCAATGTAGTCGTACCTGAAGTGGCAAACAGACGACAAAATGAGAGAATGGAGCAGTCAGGCAGCTGCATCACATCAAATATGCACTTAAATAATAATTTATTAATTTCAAAGTAACTGAAAAATGTGTAAAGGCACCCCCTAGTGTCTGTTATTAATTCTCTGTGTTCAAACCGAAAACAAAACCTCTCGCTCTCTCTCCTCACTGTGCGTTCTTCTTTTTAACACCTTAAAGCAGCGTTCCGGAGTTTTCCCCTTTTAGAAATTATGTATAATTTGTCAGAAATCCGTAAAAGTGATACTCTTATCGTGTATTGTGATATAATGTAAGCGAAACATCTTTTTTTTTCTTTTGCTACGCACGCCCCCTGCCCCGCAGAGCTCTGTGCAATAGGAAATTGAGCGCCGACCAGAACTAACTGATAGCGTTAGACTACCGCTTACTTGCTTTAAATTTAAGGAATACCTCGGCTGATGCAGAGTTGATTAACTTTTCACGGACAAGTAAGTCTCTAAAATATAAATATATGAGAACACAACCTGACACGGGAATACTCCTAAAACAATGTGTTTTACCTCTGTTTGTAGGCTACAGAAGCACATAAATAACAGAAACGTGACACTGCCATCTTAAAAAAACAAATGAGAAATACTCCGGAAAGAAGCTTTAATCTAACAGCTGAAATGTCTCTCCAGCTCTACAAACTCTACAGGAGTGATTCATCACTAATTTAATCAAATAAGCTGTGTTCATGACCTAAAACATGCAGCAAACGTGCTGGATGCAGACTGCAGTGCCAGGTATGTCAGCTCCAACAGAGCAACCCGCCTGTCTGAAGTTGCAAATATATTCTGGCCACAGAAGGCTGTGGGGGTCTGAGTGACATCTTTTTAACCCTGTAAAGGGTCATTTTAGCATATATTGGCTCAAGGAAATTATAAAAAAAATATGAAGAAGTTGCAAAGTATGCCTTTAAATGTAACTGACTGTTCTATGATATAAAGTCGGTAATCTATCATAATTTACATTAGCCCTAAGTCTTTCCTTCTACAGCAAAAAAAAAAAAAAATATTTTACACAAGCTTAGAGCGGCGACTAATAGATTCATATATCTACAACCAGAAGCTGTCAATCAGCAAGAATGCCCCACTTCAAACAGCTTCTCAGGGGAGAAATCAGTGTGTGTGTGTGTGTGTGTGTGTGTGTCATAAGATTATGAGGACACACACAACAAATTAATAAAATAATGTGGTTCAGATTCTTATCAGAAAGAGAAACTTGGTATTTTTTAAGCAAACATTTCCATAGAAAATACCAAGACCTTATTAACACCTAGCATGATGGCCTCTAATAAACATCATTCGAAGAGAATGGTCTAAATTTTCACTTGTTAGTAATTGTCCTGCAAGGATGGTCACACAAATCAAGTAAGCACAATGACTCCTTTAGAGATGATGTAGGATGAAACACATCCTATATGACCTAAGCTTCGAGGAGGATAAAGTGTGAATAACTTAGAATAAATAACCCAGTCGATTATGAACACCAAATGTTTTCTTCTCCTTCGTCTCCTCTACAAGATGCTTACAAAGACAGCTGAGTTGCATATTGGGATTAAAAAGTCTATATTCCTCCCTCTGCCTTCAAGGACAAACTTCTTATATTTGCTGCCAAGAAAGCAAACTTCCTCTATCCATCTTGCTCAGATCTTTTCAATCACAGTTTACCATTGTTGTGGCTGTATTAAACGTGATCATGTTACACACTAAACCTTTCCTAACTCTAACCTTCTCCATCATTTAATTTCACACTTGTTAATCACTTTTGTCTTTCATTTGACTTTTCTTCACTGCCTGCAACGCATCAGCGCTTCCTCCAGTTTGTCCTCACTACCCCACTCTCTTCTCTTCCTCCTATTCTTTCTCTTTTTGTCTCTTTATCTTAACAACCCTTCATGTCACCCTCTTTGCTTTCCCCTATTATCACCAGTAATCACATCAGCTGGATGTCATAATCTCCATTAGATATTTTTTTATTAACCTTCTTAATGCCATGTTTTACCTGCACACTCCGTTTTCGGGATCCTCCAGGCCAAACTGTCCGTCAAACTCAAGGTGTATTTGACTCCCCGGTGGTGACAGCAGTTTCCATGACAACAGCAGGTTGCGTGGATAAGCGTTGGGGTAGCGTGGGCTGAGGATGACTCCACCCGCCGGTGATACCGTGAGGTTTTCCTCCTTGTGGTACAAGTCTGTGGTGAGGCGATTGCTGTCGGTTAGTGGTCAATGCTAATCATCCTGTTTACAGAGACGGGGACGTGCAAGACGCACATTCTCATGCAGAAGCAAACACTCAAGGATGCAGATAAGCATGAAAAAAGATGCACTAAACTTACAGAAATAACAAACATGAACATGTTATAAAGCTTGAAATGACACGCCCTTGTAGAGTCATGAATGGCCTCTAATTTGTGACAAAGGTCACATTTTCCCAGCTGGGTCAAGCTGGGTCGAACTGTAACTTTGCCCCACAGATTAACCCACCAGGAGCCGTGATGTCTACTGAAACAACATCTTTATCTGCTGCTGTTCCATCCCAAGATGAAGGACGCTTCAAGATTTTACAATAGTAATTTTAAATAATACTTTTAATAAACTCTTGACTTTATTACTGTTATTAAAACCATCATAAATAATCTCTTGGTTCAGTATAAATGTATTTTAATTACTGAAATGACTTATTATGCTTTGAATAATAATAAATATTATTTTTGATAATCCGTAATGTGTGTTCAGCAAACCAGAAGGTCATCTTGCACGTTAACCACCTCATCCAGAAGAAGGGATCTAGAAGGGTAAACCACCTCACATGTCTTTATTTCATGACCAAGCTTTCTGACGCTGAGAGGGCGTGTTCTGAGGGTTTTGTTAAAACCAAATCCTGCAGCTGTAAGTTCAGTTCTTGAACCATACCAGGAAACGAGGGACGGCCGCCCAAGTCTCTACTAAGCATTCTGTCACGCCGATAGTCTTGCTTCGAATAAACACAACTGTAACCAGCTGAAGCAAAACTCTGTCAGAGTTAAGCCAGACGCTCGACACCGTGTACCCTGCGACATCTCTGGACCAGTGGATCGGTTCTACTCGGGTCTTCTCTACCGGACCGAGTATCCCTGAGGCTGACAACATCCTCCTTGACCCCCGGATCCACACAGAGGGTCGTCTTGCTGGGTGAGGTAGCACACAGATGGTGTCTGATGCTGTTCTCTCTAAGAAATGACTCAGTTAGCTGCAAAACAACTTTCCACCCAGACCGCTTCTCTCGCTGAAAGAAACCTTCTGAGATTCATTCACGCATCCAAAAACTCGCATTTCATTTTAGTTCCGTTCAGTCACAGGTTTGCTTTTTAAAACAAGTTTTAATATCAAATTGTTTGTTAAAAATTGTCATTTCAAATTGTTATATTTTTAAAAATGTTAGTAATAAATTCTTAACTTTTTAAAAACTGACTCTTCTTTGAAACGAAACACAGAAAGGTGTATATTTTTGGTTATTGAAAAAGCAAAGATTCCTTTAAACTTCTGATTAAATAAATAAACTTTTGCTATTAAATTTAATTATCTTAAATTAAACATTACTCTTTGGATTAAAATATAGATAAGACAGTTAGTGTATGAATTTCTATCGATTGCATTCATATCCTAGATATTGGTGCATAATATAGGTTCATATGCTAAATGTCCGATCTTTTCTTCAGAATCTAACAAAGTTGATAGCAAACAGCGTTAATTCTAGTATATAGATAACCACGCTACACCCTTTTAACGTGAAATTGTAACATCACTGTGCTATTCCAAGTAAACAGGACCCCGTACAGCTAGTCCAACACATCCACTTCAGGTATTAATGCTGAGTCTTATTTCTCATCTACCTGTAGGATATCTCCTTCATTAGGATGCTCTTCAATCTAACTTTATCAGTAACTTCACACACAAACACCACTCGCACAAATGAAAACGTACCATCCATCCATCCATTTTCTGAACCCGCTTGTCCACGTAGGGTCTTGGGGGGAGGGCTGGTGCTTATCTCCAGTGGTCAATGGGGAATCACGCAGCGTAAAACATACCATGTTACGCAAAATTATGACCATCAAGTATTCTTCTGAAACTTACCTGCCAGTTGAATCAAGCCGATTCTGAGTGCTCAGTAATTATGTGCACCACTTTCGCCTTTAAACACCTACAATTTTGCTGCCTCCCACCCTCAGCTCAAAAGGGTCTTTCTTTAAACATCTTTGGTATTTTCTTGCTGTGCTTAGTTTCTAGTTCCATTTTTTTTAAACACACTTTATGGATATAAAATATGACAAGCTTTAGTGTGTAGCAACATTTACTTATGTTATTTATTTTAAAAGTGCTGATCTTTAAAAAACACACACACACAATTCCAACTGTATTAATGTGGCAATGTATAGTTTCCTGCTGCTAGGGGGCAGTACATACATTTCGGGGTAGTTTTACACCATATCGCCGTGACTGTCGCTAGTTTAAAATAACATTAAGGTGAATTTTGTTACCTCTGGAGCAGAAAGCATGCGACCTCAGCATGACTCCTCAGACTTTGATGGTCCTTCAGTTAATTCCATCGCCAGAATGCAATGGTGATGCTAGTTTTTGGGTGCTGTAGTTTCCGGATCTGCTCGGGGGCCTGCACCTGCTGATGATGTCATCATACTACAGCAAAACCGCTCAGCCAAAATACAATCCATCTCTTTTTCGATTCTGTTCTTTCACATCAGTTTTGTTATTAAATTTGTTTTTCTTACTGCCTAATTATTTTTGAACGTGGTAACAAAACTTCTGTAAGTCGTACATCCAGCCAGTCATCTAATGTGATGTCATCGACAGGTTCAGAACCCCGAGCCGGCCAGAAGGAAACATGGCATTTAAGATGACGTCCCCAAAGACGCTAGACACGCCCAATGTACTTTAGACCAGATTTTTGTTGTTGTATGTTACAAAGCCGCCAATAATTTTCAACGACTTGACATCTTTTTATTCACGTTTCGATGGACATTTCCAGAGATTAAAGGTAAAAACTACACATCGTGTCTTAAAATTTTCAGTGCTGCAATCACAAGCATATCATTGTGTTTTGCACGTCTGACCTTTTTACGCACACATGGTTCAGATTGAGGTTTTGATCACTTTTGCAGATTCCATTTACCCAAAAACTGTATTTTTCCTATGAATAATATAATTAATAACTGGTGATGCATTTAAAAAGTCCAATTGTCATGTCACTGTTGAAGATATCACACAACAAACATATTCATTTTCTTAAAGATTTAGATTTCACTTTTATAAGAACCCCACTACACACACACACACACACACACACACACACACACACACACACACACACACACACACACACACACACACACACACACACACACACACACACACACACCTCAAGAAGGTCAGGCTATGTGCTGAACCAGGCTGACGGAGCAGTATTTTCTGAGTGCTGTTTTTTTTTTTTTTTGCAAGCGAGCTGAATCTGTAATCAACACACCACAGCATGCACCCCTGAGAGACGATGATGAAGAGGAAGCTTTGGCCTTCTCCTCCACCTCTTCACTTCAAACTTTACTTCATTTTTGCCTCCCATCCCATCCTTTTCTCCTCCTGAGTCCATCCCTCTTCTCTCCACATCAGCTCTTGTTTAATTCCACTCTTCTTCTACTTAGGAGGAAACAACATTTGATACAAAAGGCAAAATGTTCATTTAGCTTTTTTGTGCTTTGTGTGAATGTGTATGTTCACACGTGTGAGCTGATGAATTTGTTTGCAGAGGAATGTTTCTACTCTGCTGACCCGACGCCTGGCTGTGTGGGTCCATTCACTCATGAAAGCGCTTATGTGTCAAAAACTTTCAAACAATAATGTTTCAAAGGAGCAAACCCACAAGCGCATGAAGCTCTCAGCATTGCTGAAAATTTCATCTGAGTTTGTTTTCACATGCATCACTATCATAACACTTGTTTTATGCAGCATGCAGAGATTAAGGTCTACATTAACTGTGGCATGCAAGTGTTGGTAAATTAACCTTTGCACTACTTTTTCTTTGGTACCCTACTGTGTCAGCATGTCATGTCTCCAACCCACCATAGCATGTAATGCTATAGTAAAACTATAACTTGTATTTTGTAAATAATTATCTGTGCATAACATGACTGCGCCCAGCCATGAACACAAACATAAACATGTCAGTGTGAGCAGTGTGAAGAATTAAGACTTTCAACTGAAGGAATATGCAAATCTGGATGTATGGCAACGACATCTTTTGGAAGCTGGTCTCCCAGTCGCATCGTTGACCTTTACATAAATCATGCAGCGATGTCAGTGACACTTTAGGAAATTAATGCTAATGAAATAATGATTGGAAAAGAGGTCCATGTGAAGAATCAGCGAAGAGAAACGGCAGCGCTTGATTCGTGTGTCATTTATAGGCCCAAACCTGCAGCTCGAGCCAGTGAGTTTTAATACGAAAGGCTAAAAGTGTCGAATAAGGCCAGATGGACTTTATAAATGGATGAAATCGGTGGAAGTTTACTGCTATTTTAAATTTTACACTTTCTTTCCTTTTTTCTTAAAATATTTTGTCCCATGCACTGACTTATTGACATAATGCATGGAGCCAACATGCACGTATATCAGCACGCACACACACACACACACACACACACACACACGCGCGCATGCATGCATGCACACTTACACAAAGAATACTTTAATATATAAATAAGAGGGACTGGCCATAGCCATGTGTGCAATTCCATGTTATTCTAAAAATAATGTTTTACAATTTGTTGCATTTAGCTAAAGCTAGATCTTTTCTGTTTATATCTACACATTTTGCACGTTAGATGCAAAGGATATACAACATTTATCTGTGCCAAATCAGAGAACGTGAAGAAAACAAGTCGGATCTGCCTGTGCCCACCCATCTCCCACTTTGGCTGCTATAAGCTGAGAAGCTCCAATAACTGGGAGGAGTTCCATCAGCAACAACTCTCTCCTGCACGTAAGAAGTAGTTCAGTGACATCACGAATGGGTAATTTTTGAAACGACTTGTATTAGGCAAATATTTCCAAAAATTAAACACTGATAGAAAAAGCAGTACAGACCAACATAGCAGCACAACAAAATGCAACAGGTGAATTTTGCATAATATGTCCCCTT